TAGCATATTTAATTTGCATATAATTAGCATACTAATCAAACATTTCAAAGGAAATTCTTAGCACTTTTATATGTACATCAATTAAATACTGTGTACAAGTACTATATTAATGTTCTTGAATTATTTTGATGAATAAGTTAAACCACTTGATGTGTAAAAAAATATCAACTTTGACAAATGAAGAATATCAATGTTATTCTTTGTAAAAGTGTAATGGAACAAGTTGTGAAATTCTAGCCTTTCATTTATTTCTTTTAAATTTCTTTCAAATATTTCCATTTTTATAGGTTTTATAAATGCACTGAGATATTGTAATAGTTGAAAACCCCAAGTAATAAGAACAATATTTTCACATAACAAAATTACCATTTAAAAGAAAAAGAAAAAATCGAATCCGATGACTGTAAATAAATTAATCATTATGTTGATTGCATTGTGGGTACTGAGGACAAAGGTCAAATCAGATACCGTGACATCCATGTTGTTTCAGTGTTTACTGTACGTTTTGTTTTGGTGATTTATTTGATGATTCTTTTTACTTTTCGCCAATAAAAGGCAAGCAACAAGCAATTGGAACAATAAATTGTTGCTGGTTCTCATGTTCTTAAGTATCTAAGCTAATTCAGGAATGATGAGAAAACTTGTTTTGACTATCCTATTGCGTGATTAACGCAATGCTTGTGACAAGCACTTCACGCATCCATTCATTGTTTTTAGTTTATTTATTCAGCCAGTTTTTCCCCATACATCAAATCCATTGTACTAGTTGTCACCTATGCCACTATGTGTCCCTTAGTTCTTTGTTTTATCGCCTGTCAATTAATAAGAGGTCTCTCCATAACGTCGTCGGGACATCTTCCGGGAATGTGAAACCACTGTCACCGAAAACAAAGGAGGGTGCTGAAGATAAATAGAAGGGCGCTACAAATTGAAGAGGGGCGCAAATAAATTAAAGAGGGGTGCTTCGCTCCCTTAAACCCCTCGTGGAGAACACTGAATACTCAAGTAACAATACAATGTATTTGATCGGGGTGGGAAATGTGAATGCAGGGTGCTTGTTGACCGATGCAGGGCGCACGACTTCCTATGCAGGGCGCTGCGCCCTGCTAAAACCCCTCGTGGAGAACACTGCTTTATAATTACATAAGACCTCAGATAAATCTAGTTGTCACTTCCGTGTTCCTGTTCTAAGCCAAATGGCTCAGGCATCACTGGAGACATCACACGCTGTGAAGGTCCCACGTTTCCTGTGGGTGATTCAGTAACAGGAGTAGAAGTTCCATTTCGTATGCTCCTATCTTCTGCCCCTTCAGTAACGTTTTGGAGACCGTGATGGTTTGCAACATCGTCATGGTAACCCCCAGTGTCCACCAGTACTTCATTGCTTATGTTTTTCTCTTGATTATAAATCACGCATGTTTGTTGCGGTGCATTCTCTGCAAAAAAACCACGACAATATTACATGTGGCAATCGATGACGATGACGTATTCTTGAAATCTTGCATCATGTGTTTTTGTATTTCATATAACCTAGATATTTATACAGCGGGCAAAAACGAGATTCGTATGGGCAACTTGCAAATTCCTTGGAAAATGTTCCATGACCCCCATCAACTTCCCCAAGACGTTTGAAGCGAACTGTTTTCATAATATTAGATCATTTTATAGCGCCAATAAGTCACTCGGTATACTGTAATGTCGAATTTTGTTTGCGACTGCTGTCAAGTGGCGAATATATAGTAATTTGATTATACATGCTGGAGGACAAAGTCTCAGAGTACCAATGCACTAAACGGTTCAGTATATTTAGTAGTCAATGAATTATTCAAAATCAATCAAATCAATGTTTTATAATAAATTGATGATTTTATTGAGAACTTGTTAAAATATAATATATTTTATCATCTGGAAAGTGTTCTGGTTGTACATACCGTCTAGGTTTAGGTGTCCTCCGGTATTGGCGTTGTTTTCACAGTCACGAGCATTCGACTTCTTCCTACGTAGCAATATACAAAGAACACCAACAACAGCAGCAGCGATGAGCACCACCGCAATTGCGACAGAAACTACTCCGATGATCCATGGTGATGTTCCAGCGCCCTCTATGAATAAAAACAAAGTAACTGAGCACGTTGCCGGTGACGCTTCCTAATTCTAATACTAGTAAATGAAGCGGTAGTAAGTGAGAACACTTACCTGGGCTATTATTCTGTGTGTGAACGGCGTTACTACTCGTTGTGCTATATTCAGTTACTTTTATTTCAGGTGTTGTGGATGGTTTCCCTGAAAAATAAAAATGTAAAATAATATAACATGTTTGTGATACTTTGGCCTTACTATAACTAATACCTCTGCACATAGCCAAGGCACTTGAGATACCTTTAAAGCGCGGTGGTCGTCGCGCAGCGCGTGTTCGAATTTCATGTAAATAAACAATGCATTTTACACGCATTGTATACGTCGCTATGAGTCCCATATCGAACAGGACGCAACACGACGACTACCGCCCTTTAACCCGCGAGTCACCATACCTGACCCGTTAAAGGTCACAGCTATCCTGTTATGACAGGTGAATACCCCTTCACCGAAAATGTCCACAGTTTGAAATAGACTGTTTTTCTTGTTTTACGGACGAGCGAGCGTGGCTAAGTTGAATATTTTAACATTGTCATTCATTGTAAACACGTGTTGAGAATTTAACCTTACCGCATTGTGAACAACCCGCAGGAGGATGGTTCAAGATTCCACAAGTGTCACAAGACTCACATCTTCCCAACCCGTTCGGGTAAAAGTCGGGTCCACATACTGGGCCAAAATCGTCTTCAAATACGCTACCATAGACACAAGCTACCGCTACCAACAAGATGCTGCACAATATTTGAATTTTCATGTCGTGGAATGGTGAGCCTCAAAACAATGTTTACACCTCGGCAAGGCACTATGCACTGATCGGGTGATAGGTGAACTGGGGAGGGACTCCTCCGCGTCAGTATTTATCAGTGGGAAACACCGTCGACTTGCCTGATACGGCACCCATAGCCCTGTGTATACGTACGCTGTCCTAGAAGCTACCAGCTATGTACAATAGCCTAGTATTCTTATGTATAACCGTGTCACGTTTTTGGATTGAAGGTCAATCACAAAAGAGTGAAAAACGAAAAAAAACAAAACAATGTCATTCGTGTTCGTTTGGAGGCGCTGTGCCAACCATAAATGACACGCTAACTACTAGTAGTACATTATGTACTTTCGAGTAAACAAAATACAAATGCAAAGTCGCTCTGATTGTTTAAATAGTTTTCACAATTAAAATCTTTATCTTTGGGAGGATTATTCCGTAACCTAAAAAAACAGAAAAAAACAGTCCTGTAGCCAAAAAGTTTTTTCATTTGATCTCGAACGTATTAAACAATAACAGGATGTTTAAAGATGTCATCTCAAAACGCAAGACCTCTTTCGCGCTTGTCCTGCAATTGAGGCAAACAAATTCATATTTTCGTTTCAAGTTTATTCGCAAATTGATACAAATGATGTATTTAATGTTGTAAATTGATATCCTTGCTGATTTTGTATTGGGACTTTTAAATACTTAATGGTGTGTGGATGAAGCATATATACAAGGCAGAGTTTGATATGTCGGAAAAACCTGTCAACAAATAAGCTGGAGCAAAATACATGGGAGGGTCGAAAGATAATTGACGAATTGTATTTTTATCGACTGCAGCATGGATATATGATGGTCAGTAATTTGTTTATTTGTTATCCACGCAATACAAGTGAAACTAAATGCAAGTCTTCTCGCTACCGATATTAATTTTTCAGAACTAGAAAGCGCCACCAGCAACGATTCTCAGTTACTTTGTTTTTATTAATAGAGGGCGCTAGAACGTCACCATGGATTATGGGAGTTTGTCACATTTGCGGTGGTGGTCATCGCTGATGTTGTCGTACTTTTTATACGCCTACACACGTAGGAAGAAACCAAATTTTCATTACTGTGAAAACAACGCTAAAACCCAGTCTGTATATACAACCAGAACAATTTCCCAATGAACTCATTTATTATGACATTTTAATTTCTTTCTCATACTTTACATCAATTTATTTTAAAACAATGATTTGATTGATTTTGATTAATTTATTTACTACTAAATATACTGAAACTGTTTGCTGCATTGCTACTCTGAGACTTTGTCCTCCAGCAAGTGAAAATGACGCCAATACTGGATGACGCTATGAGCACATTAGTAGTGTTCACGCTACACCAAGTACGGGCTAAGATTTAAAGATAATCTCATATGTTTACAAAACTGCTAGACTCGATTGCGTTTACACACGGGGGGGGGGGGGGGCAGCGATTAGCATGGGCTAAGGAACACCCAAACTTGTTAATATACGAATATTCATCCCTTTTAACTATGATTACTCAGTACAGTAACCAGGAAGGTATACATGATAGTTCTATGGTTGTAAAACAATACCAATTGAAGGCAAATTCATTGAGAGTCTCATCGCATGTTCGCCATTTATACACTCCCATATTTTATTACTGGTATCTATTCTTGTCCCAATCTTCTGAAGGAACGTGTAGACTATAAACTGGACTATTTTGTGAATTTGTGATGAAAAGAGGGAACTGGTGGTGAAAAAGTTAAAGCTCAGACTACAGG